CAAGGGTCACATGCCTGGAAAGAGCTGCTAATACTGGAGATCAGTATTGCATGACATACCATTTTTAGATAGGGAACAGTGTGAAGAATATGCCAGGCCAAAAGAACCAAATGTTGAGAGCCAGGTGGTGGTGGCACACGCCTGTGATCCCAGCACTTGGGAGACTGAGGCAGGAGGATCACTGTGAATTCAAGGCCAGCCTGAGCTACATAGGGCAACCTTGTGTCAAAAAAGAAAACAAACATACAAAAACAACAACAAAAAATGAGAGTAAACTTTGAAAGGCAGCAATGGAGGGAACAGCACAAGACTTTTTGAAAACTGGTGAATTGTACGAAGATGTTGGCAGGAGTCCATTTGATGCACCAATGGAAGGGTTCCGGTTTAATTCTCCAGGCTTTGAACTCCTTCGTGCAAGAGGGGAGTGACAGAATTCACCTTGTAGTCTAGATCATTCTAGCTATAGAGGGCACAGAATACAGGAAAGACTGCAAGGTCACACGGAATTTCTGACTCAGAGATTATAGTTTGGAAAGAGGCAGATCAGCATTTATGAAGCACGTGCTTGGGCAGGCCACGGTGGCAGATTCCCATCATCTCGGCTGCTCAGGAGGCTGAAGCAATTTAGCAACACCCTGTCCCAAAATTTAAAAAAGGGCTGGGGATATACAAGTAGCTTAGTGGTAGAGAACCCCTGGGCTCCATTCCCAGAACTTAAATGACCATCACCGCCTCCATAACAACAAACCCTGTAAAGTGCTCCCTTTGACAGGAAATATTTTAAGTGCTTCACAGACCTAACCTATGGCATAGATAGTTTTTCACTGGGCAGTGCAGGCTGATCTTTGCCTCCAGGTCCCCCTGCCTCAATCTCCCAAGTGGCGGGATCACAGGCATGTGCCACCCCCACTCTTGTTTTTTTCCGTGGTTCTGAGGATCAAACCCAGGGCCTCCTGCCTGCTAGTACCCACTCTAGTGCTGAGCTACATGCCCAGCCTTTAAAAAACCCTCTCACTCTGTAGCCTGGACTGACATTGAATTTGTGATCCTCCTGCCTCAGTTTCCCAAGTGCTGGGATTACAGGCCTGCAACACTCGACCAGCTGGGGCAGGTTGTGTTTTGGTCCTCATGTTACAGAGAAGGAAACACAATGGTTTGCCTGTGGACACCCAGGCAGGCGGACTAGGGACTCAACTTCCCACTCCCTCTTAGACTTACAATGGAGTGTGTTAAGTTGTAAACCAGGACAGGTATCTCATACTGCGAGAACAGATGCGGCTTCCTATCCCAGAGCAGGTGGCCACGAGCTGAACAGGGAAGGAGTGCAACACGCAGAGCAGAATGAAATCATTCAGCACGATCACATCAAATAAAATGAAGTGGGTGCCGGGGAGATTGACCGGTGAAATGAGAAGGAGCCAGACCTGGTGACTGTTCAGAAATTTTGGATTTCATCAGGCATGGTGGTACCCGCCTGTGAGTCCAGCACTCGGGAGGCTGAGGCCGGAGGATGCTGAAAGTTGCAGTTTGGACTACATAGTGAGTTCAAGGTCAGCCTGAACGGTGTAGTGAGATCCTGTTTCAAGAGAAATAAAATAAAACTTTTGGGATAAAAAATTGGGGGGTTTCATGGATTCCAGCATCGGCAGATGCTCAATTTCCTTACATACAATGGTGTGGTGTTTGCATGGAATCTCATACGAGCTTCTGTGTAGTCTTTCTTTCCTCCCTCTTTCTCCCTTCCTCTCTCTGTGTCTCTTTCTTTCTTCCTTTTCCTCCTTCCTTACTTCTTTCTTTCTCTCCCTCCCCCCCTGCTTTCCCTCCTTTTTTTTTTGTTTTTTTGAGACAGGGTCTCACTGTGTGTGTAGTTCAGGATGTCCCTGATTTTGGGGTGATCTTCCTGGCTCAGCCTCCTGAATGCCGGCATTACAGGTGTGTATCACTACAGCTGGCCGAAAGTTCTTTGTATTCAAATGAGATGGGAGCATTAGGAGAAAATTCGAAGAATTTTGAAGCTATATAGATGTGGATTAAGTTGGATGTAGGGGCACATAGTTCTAGTCTCCCAGGAAGCTGAGGCAGGAGGATCATAGGTTTCAGGCCAGCCTGTGGAACTTAGTGAAACTCTGTCCCTCCAAACCATCTCCTCCTTAAAAAGAAGAAAAAAGAGTCCAGCATATAGTTTAGCTCTCTTCACGTTCAATTCCCAGTGCTGGGGCAGGCTGGTAGGGGAGAATAAATAGGGGTTAAAATTCTGCCTCTGTCATTTCCTACATCTGCAATTTTTTTTTTTTACATCTGCAATTTTTAATGAGTCATGTGGGCGTTTGTTAAACTCCGTCTTCTCACCCTGAGCCACAATAGTCCCTGTCATAGTCTATTTCCAGCTTTACCCTTTTGTTTCAATCTTCAAAGAGCATCCCAAGTAAATGCTTTTTTTTTTTATGGTGGTGGTGATGTTACTGGACATTGAATCCAGGACTTTTATACTAACCTTACACCCCAAGTCCTTTTTATTTGTTATCTTGAGGCAGGGTCTCACTAAATTTCCCAGGATAAACTCAAACTTGGGATCCTACTGCCTCAGTCTCCCGGTACTGGGATGATGATGATGTTGATTAGAAACAGGATCTTGCTTTTTAGTTCAGGATGGTCTTGAACTCATTATGTAACCCAGGCTGGCCTTGAACTTGTGGAGATTTTTTACCTCAGCCTCAGTCTTAGATTAAAGATATGTGCCACCATGCCAGGCTAAGGTATTTTACTCAAACGGATCAGGTTTTGGGTTTTTTTTTTTTTGTATTTGTATTTTTACCGGTACCAGGGATTGAACTCATGACTACATGCTTGCAAGGCAGGTGCTTATGCCACTGAGCTAAATCCCCAGCCCTACGGATCAGGTTTTTATCCAAATGCCATTTCAGTGAAAACTTTTTCCTACTAACCCTACCCCCTCTCCTGGTTTTCTCTTCCTAGGTCTCAGTTACCCACAGTCAGCTGTTGGCTGAAAATATTAATTGGTAAATTCCAGAAATAAACAATTTGTTGGTTTTAAATTGCATGCTACGTCAAGTATGTTCAGGTAGATCTTCTTTTACTTAATAAAGGCCCTGAATGCAAGGGTAATAATGCCGGCAGTTTGGATGCCAAAGAGAAGCTACAAGGATGCTTTTAAGTGGAAAAGGTAAAAATTCTCACTTTTTTTTGGGTGGATACTAGGAATCAAATTCAGGACCTTGTGCTTGCCAGGGAGGGACTGTACCCTGTAACACTGAGCTATATCTCTAGCCCAGAAGTTCTCTCTCTCTCTCTTGCGCTCTCTCTCTCTCTCTCTCTCTCTCTCTCTCTCTCGCGGAAGCTGGGATTGAACTCACGACCTTGTGCTTACCAGGCAGGCACTTGGGCCACTGAGTTAAATCCCCAGTCCCAGAAATTATCACCTTAATAAGAAAAAAAGAAATTAGATGCAGAGGCTAAGATGTAAGAGTGAACCATCTATCCATGAGACTGTGAGGAAGAAAAAAGAAATTTGGGGTAATTTTTCTGCCACGGTTTGGAATGCAGACGTTATGGTCACAATGCATGATCATGCCTGAATAAGAAAAAGGCATTAAATTGTGGGTGAAGATCGAACAAAAGATGTTTTATCAACTCATAGCCATGTTTTGCTATAGCATTAAACTTATCCAACAGTCTATCATTTTTGTTAATTTTTTATTGTGTCTAATTCACAAATTAAACTTTATTACACAGAATTTAAAAACATAGCAAATATGGTACTATGGTCTGCATTTTGATGTCACCCCCAATGACTTACGGGTCATAGATGGGGCTTTTTCAGAAGTGGCTGGAGCTAGAGTGTGTGAGGCCACAATTGATTTGTTACAACATTAGGTGCAAGGGCACTAGGATGAAGGGTGTGGGTGCTAGCTGACCTAAGTATCCTGGATAAGACAAAAGGGGCAGATAGATGCTGTGGAAGGCCCTTGATTGTTGTGCTACCTTCTGTCCAACATGAAATACTTCCGTAGCACCTGTCTGCTATGCAACCATGCCTTGCAGGACTGTAACCTCTATAAACTGTGAGCTAAATCATTCCTCCTTTAATTTTGGGTGTTGGGTATTTCATCTCAGCAACGAAGAAAGTAACTAAGACATAAGGGTCTGGTGCCATCTGAAGTTTCAGCCATTCACTGGGAGTTTTGGAACGTATCCATCAACGGAGAGGAGTATCCTACTCCTATTCTACTTTTTTGTCTTTTCTTTTAGCCTTTTATAATCTGTGTAGCATACATGTACATTTATACCTTTCTATCAATCAATTGGTTTTGCAGTGCTAGAGATGGAATTCATGGCCTTGCATAAAAACCCCATCTCATAAATGAATGCATTTTTAAAGTTTATCTTGTTTACTATACCTCCTCTATGAGCGTTTTTTGTTTACTGTTACTCGTAGTCTAAAATAGTTCCTAACACTCAACAGAAAATACCCAACGGGATGTTTAACATACCAGGTAACAATCATAAAAGGTTTACAGTATAGGCCAGGCTCAGTCCTCAGCATTTGACATATTGAAGCATCACAATAACCCTATAAGGAAAACATAATTACTACAATATCTTTATTTCACAGGAAGGAAAGAGTGGAGAACTTGAGGCTCTGAGAAACTAAGTCACTTTCCCAAGGTTACACAGCTATTAAGTGGCCTAGAGATGTGTGGCATGAAATGAATGAAACTCCACTCGGTCATCGGGGCGGGACTGGAAAGTGACAGGCTGGAAGGGAGCCAATCGAGCGCGTGCGATGCTGAACGCGAGGCTCACACTTTGCAGGCAGGGTTTACAGGACGGAGAAACAGAGCTTTGGGAAGTGAAAGGCGACGGGGCCGGCTCTACGAAGCCCATTAGGAACAAGCAGCCACTCAGCCCCTGCGGACGGGAAGCAGGAAGTGGCAGCGGGCGTCGCGTGGATGACGTCACACGGGCGCCAGCGCGAGGGGCGGGGAAGGAGGAGGAGCGAGTCGGGCTCAGGGGGCGGCTGCACAGTCTCTGGGATCCCCAGGCCTGGAGGGGGGTCTGCGCGCGGCCGGCTGGCTCTGCCCCCCGTCCGGTCCCGAGCGGGCCTCCCTCGGGCCAGCCCGATGTGACCGGGCCCAGTGGAGCCTAAGGAAGGAGCGGGTCCGTCGCGGAGCCGGAGAGCGGGAGGAACATGACATCGCGGAGGTGAGAAGCCCGGTGGGGCCCGACTGGGCCCTTGGCCTGGCCCCTGCCGCGTCCGCTCGGCCCCGCCCGGGAGGGGGCGCCCCGGCCAGGCTTCGGACTCCGGTCCCTGGTGGGGGGTGGGCGCCTTGCCGAACCCTAGACCTCTTGGGGCCCCCGGGCCCTTGGCGCCCCCACCCCTCGGGTCCCCATTCATTTCCTGCCTTCCCGAGTTCCGGCTCCCGGAGCCCCGGGGATGCCCGTCTGGACAGGGGCAGGTAGAGCAGCCCAGAGAACCGCGGACGCCAGCGGCCCAGCTCGGCGCCGCATTCCTGACCCATTGCCTCATGAGAATTGCCTCATGGTGATTCCGAAATAACCCCGCGCATTCGGGGAGGCTCCTCGGCCTGGACGCGGGAGGGGACCTGCGCGACAGCCGAGCAGCTCGTGGTCACTCTGCTGCGGGCGCGCGTTCAGGGACTTCATCCAGGATCCCCCCACCCTTTTGTGTGCCCCTTTGCATCTTCTTTCCCCCCACATCTCACGTGCCAGAAATGGAAAAACTGACGGTATCTGAAGCCACTAAGCAGTGTTTCCTTTCTCTAAAGCGATCTTAGCCTTGGGAGGTTAGGAAGGAAGGCAGCTTTTATCTAGTTAAGTGTTTAAGTCTTCACCACCACCAAAAAAGTCAGGTAACTATCTTGATTCCCGTTTTACGGATGTAGAAACTGAGGTTGAGAAATAAAAACATGCTAGTAAGTGGCAGGATTTGAAACAAGGGTTAGAAGAAGGGGGATTAGTGAGTTAATGAGATCCTTTGAAAGTTCGGGGTCATAATACTACTCGTAACATTTACTTAGCTCTTACCAGGAGCCAAACACGGCATTTAATCCACACAACAAACCTATGAGGCCAAAAGTATTATCCTGTTCTAAAGATGAGTAACAGTTTCAAAAGTTAAGCATCCTGTGCTTTGTCACTCAGCTAATAAGTGGAGCCAGCGTCTGCCATGTTAATGACCACATTGCTGTTATTATTTTATATAACTTGCTAATCATTAATAAGCCTTAATTTTGTTGTTAAACACTAGTGTGACCTCTGGTTTTCAGATAATGAGCCTGCTATTTGTGTCATCTCTCTTTACATGGATTCACACATAAGACCCATTGTCTATTCTTTTCCGTGATTGTCCAGCTATAGCCATCTCCTTGAAGATTAGAAAAATGGTTTCAAGCTGTTGGGGCTACTTGAGAAACTAAAAAATATTAGGAATGTCTCCTTAAAACACACCTGCCTGTGATTCATGCATGGATGTGGACTACAAAAGGGGAGGGAAAAGAAAACTGCAAAGTCTTAGGAAGTGAGTGACTTGGACAAGTCTCTTGGCAAGTGCTTGCAGATCTGGGTAATATATAACTGCATTTCAACAGAACAGTGTATAGCCTCAAATGCTGTAATTCTTTAGGGAGCTTTTAAATAAGACAGTTGTCTATTCTTTAATCTGTCAAATAGTCATTGAGCCTTTTGTTCCTTGTGTCTGCTTTTCCAGACAAGTAAGGATCTGCTGTTTTAAGATACAAAAAGATTGAGGGAGGGGGTGGGGAGAGGGGCCGAGTAGTAATAGACCCTGCATTGTCCGGCTTGTTAGTTTAGAAGCAGTGAAGTGTGAGCTTAGCCAAAGCAGCAAGTGGTTAAGGTGACTGGTTGAAATGGGATAATTCTTTCTCCCCTCCAGCCCGTCTTACCTGTTACAGAGAAGGAATGTGTATGCTACCTAAAAAGTCAAGTTATGAACAGACACATCATTGGCAATTATTATAGTTTAACCAGCTTCACTGAGATATAAATGACATGTGTACAATTTGATGATGGTTTTCTGGAGGAGGGCACAGTGTTTCACTATGTCATTCTGACTGGTCTTAAACTCCCTAAGAGTTCCAGGCTGGCCTCAAACTTACAGTGATCTTCCTGCTTCAGCCTTCTGAATGCTAGGGTTACAGGCATGCTCTTCCATGCCTGGCTGATTTGATAACTTGTGGCATGTGTATGCATTTGGGAAAGTATCACCACACTAAAGAGAATGAATGTACCCATTACCCTGGTAAAATGTCTTTGTGCCCTTTTATAATACCTCTTAATCTCAGGCAACTGTTTGTTTTCAATTCTATTCTTACACATTTTGCATTTCCATGACTTTTATGTAAATGGAATTAAGCAGGGATGTACTTTTTTTTTGTTGTTCTGTTTTGCTTTTGAGACCAGGTCTCCCGCTGTATTCCTCTGTGGCCTTGAACTCATTTGTAGTCCAAACTGGCCTCAGAACTTGAGGTGATCTTCCTGCCTCAGCCTCCTGAGTGCCAGAACTACAGGCATGCCAATTAAGCACTATAGTATTGACCTGGATCCTGAGGCATTTTTATTTTGTTCTGAGGCAAGGGTCTCTCAAAGTTGCCCCTGCTGGCCCTGAACTCTTGCCTCAGCCTCCTATGTAAGCTGGGATTACACTCAAGTCCCACTGTGCCCAGCTTTCACTGTGCTCGGAGGGCCTGGAGTTTTTAATTTTGATGAAGTCCAGTTTATCAGTTTGCTTTTGTACATATATGGCTTTTGTTGCCATTTCTAAGAAAATTTAACCCAAGATTTCAAATATATTTTTTCTTCTGCAAGCTTAATAGTTTTAGGTTTATAATTTACTGTTAATAAAATTTTGCATAGGGAATGAGGTATAGATACCCGTTTCTTTCTTCGTCTTGTCTTTTCAATACAGGGCCTCTGTGTGGCTGGTCCAGGCTGGTCTTAAACTCACCGTGTAGCCCAGGAACTTACAGTAGTCTTCCTGCCTCAGCCTCCTGAATGCTGGGATCACAGGTGTATGTGCGTGTGTCTTTCTTGCATATGGATATCCAATTGTTTCAGACTCTTTAAAAAAAATTGTTTTAGATTTTGAGACAGGGACTCACCAAATCATTAAATTGCCTGGGCTGGGCTTCAACTTGGGATTCTCCTCCTCAGTCTCCCAGAGTGCTGGGATGACAGGTGTGTGCCACCTGATGGCTTAGCACTGTTTGTTGAAAAGACTGTTTCTCTCCAGAGAGTTTGTACATTTGTTGAAAATGAATTGTTTTTATGTACGGATCTGTTTCTGGACTTGATTATGTCTCTTGATCTATTTGTTTATCCTTATACCAGTATCACAGGGTCTGAATTACTGTAGTTTTATAATGTCTTGAAATCAAATAGTGATGTTCTTTTTCAAACTATTTTTTTTCAAACTATTTTGTAATAGTATTCATTCATCAAGTAGTGATTGAGCTGGGGTAGGATATAGCAGTAAGAAAGGCAAAGATTCCTATTTTCATGACTGAGAAAGAGAATAAACATAAATACTTATGATAATTTCAGTATAAATGCTAGTTTTTCCAAAAATGTGAGGATGGGGAGAATACAGTTTGTGGGTTTTTGTTTTGTTTTAATACTGGGGATTGAACCCGGGGCCTTCACACTGAGCTACATCTGTGGCCCTTTTTTATTTATTTTGAGGCAAGATCTCAGTAAGTCACTAAGTTGTCCAGACTGGGCTTGACTTCCAAACCTTTTGCCTCACCTTCCCCGAGTGCTGGAATTACAGATTTGGACCCCACTGTCTAGTTTATAATTTCTTTTGATAGAGAGTTCAGGGAATGTAAGTTCTCTCTAGGGAGTTGATAATATGCGCCTACACGTGAGTGACAAATATTCTGAATTTTGTTTTGCAAAGTTACAAAAATATTTCCTATTTGTCAGGCTTAGATTTTCATTTGCATTCAGTAATTAAAATGTCAGTATATTCTGTGCTCTAGTATCTGTCAACATCCTAGGTGGAGAAACTAAGGCATTGAGCTGGGCATGGTGGCACATGCCTGCAGTCCCAGCACACAGGAGGCTGAAGCAGGAGGATCGCTGCAAGTTCAAGGCCAGCCTGGGCTACCCAGTGAAACTCTGTCTCAGAAAAACCAAAAACCCAAAAAAACTCCAAAATCCAAAAAACTCAAAAACTAAACTAGGATGCTGAGCAGGACCCCACTAGGTACCTTTGAATTTACATTTTGAGGGTCCTTGTACTGGACCACTCCCCCACCCCGCCATTCAGTGACGGAACTGGCTGTGTTTTCCCTGTCCTTCAACTTCTAGTGAATCCTTTACGTTTGCTTCTGCTCCTCTGAAGGAGATACCCAGTGGCTTGAACTAAGAGGGGCAGAAAATGGAGCCTGTTCTCAGACTCCAGGCTTTTGGTTTATCTGCCGCAGGTCAAGTACACTTTGTCCCTGACTCTCCTTGGTGGCCGTGTTTGTTTATCACCCGTGGGAGTAAATAAACTGGCCTTTTGAGCCTTCCCAGCAGAAAGTGGGTCGTCTTTGTTGATGTCATGTCCCGACAGGGAGGCCGAGGCCCGGCCAGCATGGCCCCCCATGCACTGGCCGCTGCTGAGATTCTTGCCTTCCTATGCACGGCCGGCACGGACAGCAGCTGAGGAGTGGCGTGTGACCTGCGGGAACGGGACCAGCTCCTGTTTGCAGTTGTGCTGAGCAGGCCTTGGTGTACTTTGTTTGCAGCCATGGAACATTGGAGATGCTGAGCTCAATCCTCTTTCCCTTGGGAAACGCAGACAGCGCTCCCTATCCACTGCTGACATTTTTAAGGAAGAGAAAGGCAAACGCTGGCGTTCATAGGGTTCTGTGGCAACTGTGGGTCATACCAGGGTTTGGGGTGCATGAAGGAAGATTCAGATGCCCTAAAATACAGCCCAGTTCATTACTGTGACTTTTTTTTTGTCTTTTTGCTTTTTATCGGTACCGGAGATCGAACTCATGACTGCCTGCTTGCAAGGCAGGTGCTTATGCCGCTGAGCTAAATCCCCAGTCCTTACTGTGACATTTGAAGTTGGCAGCACTGGAAGAGAAAAGAGCTTGTCCACATCTGCAAGAGGTGCTGAGTTCAGAGAGCGGACAGATTTTCATGCCTGTGTAAAGTGATAAAGTCAGCAG